TTATAACCATGGAGACTCCTGTTAGAACTACAATGGAGCAATTGTTTCCTATGCAACAGTCTATTCTAGCGTTTCCATAGAAGTGACTCTTCCGGATTCCCGACACGTTGCATTGCTCCCTTCTAAAGGTTGTTCGTCCCCGAACAGCCCAAAGGTTCTCCCTCGGTTTCGATTCCGCAGTGTTCTGCTTGCAATGTCTGCATTCGGCCTTGGTGTCTGCTGGCATATTTGTGCGCCGTTCATTCTAACCGTATCTGCCCCTTTCTTCGGTTGTGCTCGTCCCGAGCACTTCCTATTACCAGAGTTTGTCGGTCGCCTTGTTTCACATTCGTTCCTCACTTACATTCTTCATGCATACTTGCTGGGGAGGCCGGTACTTCTACGTTACCGGTTCCTCCCATAAGGGCCGTTCCCTTTTTTTTTCGTTTTGGAGGGGGTCGGCCCCTCCACAAGGTCCATTCCTTGTCTTCTCGTAATCCGACGGAAGACCCGGCTGTTTGCTTCGCGATCTTCCTGATGACACTCTCGCAGAAGGCCTTCTTGCAAGTACTTCTCCTTCCTGGGTGCGGTCGTTGTCCTGGCCTGCACCTTCCGATGGCGTTCGTAGTGGGGTCCTCAACTTGTTTGCTGACCCGTAGTCCCTGTTGCAGACCTCTGTCCTTTATGCCGGTGTTGCATGCAGGGTACTTCCAACATCGTTCAGCATTGACCCCGATTGAGTATTTCTTTCCGAAATTTCCCTTGCGCCGTGTCGCACCTGCACGACTAGTGATATTTCTGTCGGCAGCCAATTCGTGTCACAGTTCACAATTCCCTTGGGTCGTCGATCTCCTGAAGATGTTACTCTTGCGCCATGCCACTGTCACACGGCGGGACATCATCCTGCTGGCGGCGGCCAACTTCTTCCGCTGGCATCCGAAGGTTCCCTTGGGACCTTCCTTCTTGAAGTCTTTTCTCCAACGTCATGCCGCTGTCGCGCGACGGGATGTCCTTCTGTTTGTGACGGCCAATTCCTTCGGGGGTCCACGATTTTCCCCTGCTGAATCCTTCGGTTTCTGGCGGCGGTGCTCCGCGGCCAGTTTCTGGTCCCTACGCCGTTTCTTCGGTTCTCCGACCGGTATTCTCGGGGCGTCTTCTACGGGGACTTCTCGATGCTCCAGTACGGACTGCATCGCTTCTGAGTGGGGCTCAACCTTCTCGTGGATGGTTCTTCTCTCTTCCCCCCAGGCTTTCCAATCGGCCATCAGCTCTTTGTGTCTGGCTTCCGCTTTGATTTTCGCTTCTTCGTATCTGGCGTCGGCCTTGGCCTGGTCAGCTTTTCTTTCTTCTCGCATGGCCAGCAGGAGTTCCAACATTTGCTGCATCTCCATTTTTTTGTTGTTGTTGTAGGACGCGTGTTAAAGTTCGAAGTCACTTCTGACACCAATGTAGCGTGTCCTGAGTTCAAAACCTGTCGGTCACGTGTATAAGTGTTATCCCACTTCTGACACCAGTTGTCACGTATTCGGGTGTATAACGCGACAAATAAGTTCACGCCGTTGTCCGATATAGCGGATTTATTCCGTTCGCTCACACTTTACACACACTTTACAAACATTTGCCCTTGCAGTGTTACAATCACTGCTCACAGTATCTCGGCAACACTGGACTGTCTTCTCTGGCGGTTTCTAGCAGACTCTCTTCTAAGATGGCTCGATCATGACTGACCTCTTAGCTAGCTATTCCAAGACTGACTCCTTAGCTGGCTATTCCGAGACTGACTCCTTAGACGGATATTCCTAGACTGAAGACTTCTCGTCGAAGCTGGGCTTTTATAACCTTGGCCGCTGCTAGGCAAATGAATCCTCTGTTATAACCATGGAGACTCCTGTTAGAACTACAATGGAGCAATTGTTGTTTCCTATGCAACGGTCTATTCTAGCGTTTCCATAGAAGTGACTCTTCCGGATTCCCGACATGTTGCAATATATATTGTCGTGTTGGG